GACTGGCCAGTGGGAGCCTCCTCAGGGGAGCCATGGAGGAGCAGGACTGTAGCCGCCGCCTTCAGGGAGCCCCGACCCGGAGGGCAGCCAGCAGGTCAGACTCGCCTGGGAGCTCTACGGGAACATGGGAGGGCTCGGAGACCAGGGGGGGAATGGGGGGGGGGGGGGGCTGGTCTGTGCCTCGTCTGCTACCTTAAGCAGGCCGATGAGGCTGAGTCTAATCTGGCTCAGCGGGAGTGACGCTGTAATCCCGTCTACCCGCTCAGGGGAGGGGGGGAACATGCAGGAAATTGGCCCCGCCCACCGGAAGGCCACGCCCCCTGCTCGCCTCTCAGACCGTCTCTGATGGAAGCCCTCCATCTGAGTCTCTCTAAAACCGAACGGCCCGTCTCAGTATCCACATCCTTGTTGATCGTGTTGCCTCTGTTGCTCTATTGCCACTTTTTTAATTCCTAAATATAAGAAACATCCGGCTGTCTCTGACCTAGCATGCCTCCCAGCTCCTGGTCCATCTCTGGTCATCTCTATAGTCTCTCCCAGCTGTCTTTTGATTGGTCCCCAAGCCTGCTGTAAAACCTCTGCAGAGGGTCCAAAACTCAGTGGCTTGTCTGATCTTGGATCAGCCTAAAAAGTCTGGTGCCCACTCCCTGCTCACTGAGTTCCACTGGCTACCATTAGCCACCTAGCGGCTAATCTAAGCCCCTGATGCTAGCCCACACCGAGCTAAAGGGGACGGCCCCCCCACTGCTCTCTCAGTTCTTCCCTCCATCTCTTCCCCATCTTCACTTTGGCCTCTGACAGACTCTGACTGCTGGTTTCCTTCTTTGTAGCTCGCTGTTAGCTTCGATGCTAACTGTGATGTTGTATCCACATTGCGAGTCGCTTTAGATAAAAGCGTCGGCTAAATGCATAAACAGAAAGCCCATGTCTTTAGGTAAACATATTTAGAGGAGCGTTTCAGGCTGTTGATAGATGGGAATGCTGTGAGTTGAATGCTGTGAGTGAATAAGCATTTAGAAGAGCTCACATGTGAGCAGCGGGATGGACCTTAAGTGCCCTTAGAGTGTGCGGCCTCATTAGCCAACTTGTGTGTGAGTGTGTGTTTCTTTCCAGCGTTTGTTACACAGCCCAGCCGCAGTCTGAATGGAGCAGAAAAAGCCACCACTCCTGGCCAGGCTGACTCCTTCGTACTTCGTCCTTCGCCTTTAAAGGCTAATTCTGACATATAGCATCTGTTACTGTGAGCTGGAAAAAGGAGGAGCAGGAGGTTTAGTCACTGCGGTGCAATGGAGGAGCTCCAGAACCTGCAAAAAA